GTTGTGCTACCGTCGTTGTTTCAGAGTCGCATGATAAAAGCGATGTTCTCTAATATTTATTTAGGTATTCACAACTTTCGTTTGTGCAAATCTGGAGCTCCACCGCGTAACTGAAGCCATAATTGATCTGTCAAAAAGAAGTTTTGAATGATCTGTCCGATTAAGAAATTCACTGACAGCAAACCAGTCGGGATTGAGTAGTACCCAAGGAGTTTCCTTGTCATTGGCAAAATTACACTCTTTGTTTGGTGTACCTACATTAGTCTTTTACTTTGTTGTGTATAGGCGTCAATTTATATTGGGCCGGCGCTGGTTTAGGTAACGTTTATATTGCGCCAACAACAGGACAGTCGATGAGATAGAGAGGTACAACCTGTTTAATTAATTACTTGTGAACTGTTAGCAGAGTTCTGCTGTTAGCTACGATTAGGCACTGTACATTTTGCCAATGACACCTTTCTATTAAATGATAATACAAAAATCACTAACATTTGTAATTCAGTTATCAGATGTTTCTTAAATAAACATTATTTATAGGGCACCTATGACTGACTAATTTATCGACCATTCAACCTATCTAGTGTATAGGAAGACTTTTCCCTTTTAGAGAATTACAATAATGCTTGAATGAGAAACTTGAAATTAGCAGTCCATAGAAAACATAGATTACCTCAAAGTAGCTAGAGTCAGGTTTAATGTGTCATGCGTAAGCTTTGCTTTGCCCTCAAGCAAGCTGTCATAAATTGCAATAACAGGTTTTGAAACACGGGAAAACGAGAGATGCGATGATACTTATATCTGTTACATGAAAAATAGTGCTAATGAAATCATATTTCTTTAGCACATATATTATAGTGTTAAGAAATTACTTATAGTTGATGATAGTCGGCTCTCGGAATAAATTTAACATAGAGAACCACTCTAAGAATTTTAAGTGTAAATCATTTACTGAAGATTCGACGTCGTAAACTGTGCCGCTTATTATATATTTGCCTCTATGGGCAATCTTAAAATATAGTAGTAATACTAGTTATATGTATGTATCACAGAACAGGAAAGAAGAGTTACGTATACGTACTCTATAATAATTATCAACAATATCAGTGGATTACTGCTTTTTATTCAATTTTTGTAAAATTATTTTTTATCGTTTTATGCATTTATTTCTATTCAAGATTGCATTAGTGATAAGAAAAATATCTTATCTAAGGTAATTTATGTATATAACCTCCCCGATAAGGCGATACACATAATATTGTATTGTATTTCGGATCAGACCGAGATAACTATGCAGTAATTTTGTTATCACTTCATATAATAGGGAATTATCAACATTTTAAAGAAGCTAGTTTAGCTCCTGCAGTGCTAGTATTTTGTTATAAAAATAGCCTAGAATTCGACATGTGTCTGATAAAAATAAAATTCTGAAGCAAATTTTATTTTTATCTGTTTTTAAGTAAATAAAAGTTTTATTTCATCGAAGCTCTATGCTATGACAGCGCTGCGGTCGACATCGTCGTATTCGAGGCTATTTTTAAATATTTTTAAAAATTATTAAATATTCAAATAAAAAATAAAATTTCAATAAGCCCACGACGAAAAAGATCACTCTAAAAAGTATAAGAATAATCTTTAAATTAGCTTGGCTAAAGTTCCCGAAACAGTGACAATTTTGTTTAGAAAACCTTATTTTTATTTTCAACATTATTTATATAATTTTTAGAGTGATTTATAGCATAGCTGTTCTTTAGTCGCTCAGTCTCCATGTTTATCATTATTTTTACGCTAAAATATACATTAGAATAGTCGAATAGCAGATTTCTGTAGGCTGGCTGATCACCAGTGAGAAGACATGCCAATAAAAACCATCTTTATGGCGCGAGATAAAGATAAATGTCGTCACAATAGTACAATTAAGATAATTAACATTTCGTTCTTTTACTCGGTATACACATAATGTGTCATTCATTGTTTTACGTTATTGCATTGTTTATGCTCACACATAACATTGTTAGTCTAATTCTTACATAAAATGTTTTCTAACTATAAATTAATAAGAAACTTATATTATAAATGAAAATAATTATTCAAATTATCAAAATAAATGCAACATTGTAAAGTCGACAAACAGAATATTTGTTGTGATACTTTCGTTGTTTCAAATTTCCATAATACGATACTCTTATAGAGATAAGCCTACCCTTGCTTGTGATTTACCTACTATTATTATGTCAATTTTGTTTTTTTTGTGCAATAAAGAGTATTATAAGTGCTTACCTACTTTGGGATTTGAGCAATGTGATGTCTAAATCGTAGTTAAATTTTGCACTAATTGCAAAATTATCCTGTACAGCATATTAAGGATATTTTAGAAAATAAGACAGAGACTAACTAGTTTAGACTAACTAGTCTCTGTCTTTTATAATATTAGAACAGACTAATTTTGAAATATTTACACAAACAAAGTTCGGTACGGTATGCAGTTACTTCGATTTTTTTTGTACAAATAGAAAATGTTGTAATAGCTTAGTTTAACTGTATTAGCAACCGTTCTGTTGTCACTAAAGGCTTTCTTGGTTGTGAAGTCGCACCAAACCTTTTCGATTTTCTTCAATGGATAATGAGTAAGTAAAATGTACAGTAAAAAACTACAATTTAGAAAGATCACGTTTTATTTAGCAAACATTATATTGTCATTAATTACGATATTATTTATAAATTACGAGAAATAATCCGAGGTTCTTCCTTATTTTTTCAATAATATCAGAATGAAAGAAGAGTAAGTACTGGTAGCACAGAAAGAAATACGCGTAGGTAATAAACTCCCAAAACAGTGTTAATTTTTTTTTTGTTCAAAGCCAATACCGAATACGTGGAGCAATTTTATATTACTTGAATCTAATTATCGCTAATTGCTATGATTTTAAGTTCAAAGTGCGAGGTCTATTCTAGATCTACTATTTATAGGCTGAGTCAGGACCAGGTGATGACATCAGTGATTTTCTTATGAACACCCACTGTTTTTTTTAATTTATCAGATATAAACCTTGAGAAACATTTCCGTAGTAGTTTAGTTTTAGCTTCTTTGAGGTCTGGGACTTATTTGTCAGTTGGAGAAATTAATGTCAATTTCTCCTAGTACTTTGTTTAATTTAGCTTCGCAACGTTAAATGAGTCATACCACGATACGTCTTCAGGAATTTTAGTTTGGCGAATTTTATGAGACGTTTTGGATATTGATTATTGATAAATACAAAGGTATGGGTAGGTACAACTGTAGTTATCTACGGCTTGTTATTAAGGGCTACCAGCAGGCCCGGATCAAGGGGGATGGGAAAGTGGGTGTACTTGTACTTGGAACTTAAAGTTTCTGCCGCAGTTTGAAATCATCGTATATAAAAATTATTACAGAAATGTCTGTCTGGATGCTTTTTTATATTTTCACGCACACTTCTCAATAAATTCATGTTGTAATTATTTTTTCAAATTATACGCGATAAATTCTAAATAGGTTTTTTTTTTAATATATTTGAGTGCCATTAAAATATGTATAACGAATAATGGAAAAGTACATATAATTATTATGGTAGGTGTACCTTTCTAAATTAATTATGGAGCTAATACTTTAGGGTAACTCGTACAGTACTGACTTGATGTAGAGTTGGTTTTAATTTGTATGGAGTTAACTATGTTTTTCAAGATAGGTAGGTATTTAAGGTCCAAAAATATATTGATAACAACTTTTTATATGGTTATAACTAGAAATATGAACTGGGTGAACTAAGTTTTATGATTGCGCTTATCACTAGTAAAAAAAACTGTTAAGATTGGGGCAGTTAGTCCAATAACGCTTTACTACTGGTATTGCTTTACTCGGAAACGGGTCAAGGCGAGAGCTCTTACTAACCTACCTTACGTTATGATGTCTACCTTCTACCCCTGTCAATATTCCTACCGCCCGATAAGTTATGATAAGTAGTGTATAGAAAATAATGATAATGCATATTATTAAACTGGAAAAAACAAGAATGATTAGTCTATATTTTAAGACTAGCTTATGATGGTAAATGTCCTTTTATTTTTGGTTACAAAACTGGCTAAGTGCGAATCGGACTCGCTCACGAGTCTCCGTACCGTTATCTACTTGGAAAAAAAACGTAAAAAATCACGCTTGTTGTATGGCCCCCCTTAAAAATTAATTGTATTCTGTTTTTAGCATTTGTTGTTATAGCGGCAACAGAAATATATCATCTGTGAAAATTTCGACAGTCTGTTCTTGAGATAGAGCCTGGTGACAGATATATTGTCCATCATCAGTATTAGTAATAGGGTCCCGTTTGTGAAATAAGTGATCTTTGGGTGCTTTTTGTAACTAGGTATGTATTAGGTATACACATTACTGATGTTGATGTTACTACAGAAGTAGTCAGTTGTAATCACGCACGTTCGTCGTACTATGCACGAGAATTATTTATTAAGAAAGTCTGTTCTAAAAAAGTTCTAACTAAAGCTATAAAGTACAATTTTAAAAATGTTCGATGGCGCTATATTAAATAACAATGATGAAATAACAAGATAATATATTTATTTTAGTAAAAGTTACTTTATTTACTTACGATTATAATATGACCATCTTATACGAAGTCATTAAGGTAGGTATAGATATTGAATGTAATAACACATTACACAACTGTAGTATATAGTTAAGTGTGTGTTCATCAAAATAAACACTTCGCGTCGCGAATTCGAGATAGGTATTGGTACTCGTATTAGGTATGTACCTGAAGTTTTTAAACATCAGGTTTAAAACTCAAGAATATTTGTTAAAGTTACTTTAAAGTAGAAATAGAGTCTGAATAGTTTGCTAATCAAAGTTATGAGTATGTAGAGTATCTATCTAAAGACTAAAAAAACAAAAAAACTGAAATAAAATTAAAAGAGATGAAAATGTTTCATTTGGACGTTATTTTATTTTCATTCATTATATAGAAAAAAATTACCTTTTCCACTGAGTTGGCTCCGAAGCCGCGTCAGCTCTCTGGAACGGCTCCTACTCCTCCTGGCTGCGACCCTGCGCGGAGACCGTGCCATCTTCAGCTGCTCCTGCCCCTCACTATCACATACTTGCACCATTCGGACGCACTAATGCAAACACATCACTCGTTCGTAATTAACGTGAAGTTTCGTTTGGAAAGTTTCGCGGAAGGCACGTGTAGCATAAGGCACGGCGAGGCACTGACTGACTGCTGTTTGTTTGTGTTGTGTTGGTATTGGTATGGTAGGCAATAGCGTGCGGCACACCTGCCTGACGTCACTGATAACGCCTGCTACCGCTGGCGCTGTCGATTTTCAATGGTAAATAAATACTAGTCGTTGTTAAATGGTAAATAAATACTAGTGAACTATGTAGGTAATTTAAATAGACAGGCCGTGTTTGTTATTATTAAAATTTTATTGCAAGTATAGGTTTGCAACAGACAATACCCTCTAGTACACGCGCCCTTGTTCTAGACGTCATTCAGTGCATCGTGTCACAGATTGTGTGCTCTACAATAGAAGCTCTCAAACCTTAGATTAAGTGTAACTAAATCTTTTGATAACTTTTGGAAGATCAACACGGAACCTAAAAATGAAATATATTTTAGTTTTATGTATAAGTAGATACTGTTTATGAATAAATAAGTTCCATGCAGAGGTCGGAATTAGGTAGAGTTATTTATGTACTTGCATCGAAATGTTGATATTAAGGGGCTGAGGACACTGAATGATTTTTAGAAATCGACACGCCCCCTTACATAATTACAGGTGTCTACGCTAGTGTGGGTTAGCTCATTGCACGTTCCTCAGAAGAATAACAAATGCCTATCGGTTAAGCGCCAGCAGATAAACTTTGTACTAATAACAATGACGTTTTATAACCATCGAGTGCTTTGAGTTAGCTGTCTAAAGTGCTTACACAATAGGTGGCGCTGAATTTTTTTAAAAGAAAGGAATAATTTCTTTTTACTCCAGATTTTTATGGGGCTTAGAAAGGACAAGTATGTTTTTTCTTTTTGGGTCGACAAAATAACATGCTATTATTTTGTCTGTTTCATATTTCAGAATTTTATTCTAATTCATTGATATCTTAAAAAATGCTTTGCATTGAATAATGAAAAGATTTAAAATTTAAAGGAATATGAAATAACTATATAAAATCACTTATGATACCACACATCACATCACATTTCTTCACTTGATTTTAAACCGTAATGTAGTGAAGGTAGAGTTAAAATAATTGCGATAATTTGATAGACTGTAGTAACCTGACTTGCTGCTGTGTGTACCTGATAATGTCGGCCAATCAGAATAAACCAAATATCACGTCATGGCACTTAATCCCCGCCGAGTTTGACTGAGACGGACTTTCATACCTTATTCTCATTACAAGAAGAGTCATTATACATTTTAATTGTACGAATTTTTGGTAGGTCGGCTTTACGTAAACGAATATTCACCATATGCAATATTAATTGGAAGTCATTGTAGTTAGTACACAATTCCATATCGAACTTGCCGGAGGAGGAGAAAAAAAGCAATTTTAGAATCGTTTTTATGAGAATATAGGGTAGACGCGCCTGTTTCTACCATTGTCTTGCTGTCGAACATTTCATGGCCCATTTAAAAATAATTAATGCTTTAAGAATTGGACTCTACCTGATCTTTGGACTGGAGTTAATAAAACATATCCTGTTTTCATAATTTGAAGAAAAGTTATTTTTTCCTCTAGCCATGATCCTTTTATGGAGGTGGAATGATATTTTGTAATACTGACGCATCATCAAAGTATAGGACTGGTTGACCGGTTAGGATAAAACCATTAAAACACAATCATTTTATTAATCCCATAAATATAGATGATTTCAAAGTTGCCGTCAGACATTTTTTATTTGATACTGGAAAGCAAACTGATTCAAAAACAATATCTTAAAAGTCTATCCATATATTAATAGTACATTAAGGATAAAGAGCTTGAAGGGAGGGCAAAGTCATCCAAAAACACTCTTTTTATGAACTCCGAAACAATCATAATACTACAATTATTAAATGAAAATTCACTAAAGTTTTTACAGATAAACTTATCATTGGCTTAGATAGTTTTTGTCATGGAAAATGTATTTTATTTTAAAAGAAAATTGTCTTCGATTTATAAAAAAATATATTCTTGTACCAAAAATATGATTTATAGATGTATCACAACATCTGTAGCTGTAATTAAAAATATAGAGAAAAAACTGTTTTGTCCATCCAATCCCTATTAAGTCCTTTATTATCTAAGCAGAGATATAATTTTACTTTCCAGTTTATGAGTAAACATATAAGTATGTAGTGAAATTTCATTAGCAGACAGGGAACTAAACGCCATTAAATACTTTACATCCGCTGTATATCTATATACAACGTGTAACATAATTAACGCACATTCTGAAAGTAGTTTGTTTATATTTCGTTATACTAACATACAGTTAATAAATACATCGAAGTGTCTAAGGATTATGGGATATATGATAGCAAGACTATGCTAACTGATTTTCATAACAAATAAGAATCATAATTATTGCCTTAACTTAAAAAATACTGAAGCCGTAATTTTCACGTCATTGTGTTGATTTGTAAAATGTCCACACCGTTACCCAGCAATAAGTATAACTGTATCATAAACAATGTTTAATTTTATTTATAAATCCATTTTATAAATTCATTTTCTAATTGGGTTGTAAAAGGACGTGCGTTATTTCTGTTACACGTTTTATACTTATAACAAATCTGCAAAAAAATAATGTCCATACATTGAATATATTTACAAAAAAAGAAAGAAATTGAGGGTGGTTAATAAACAATAATAGAATACGAATTTAAAAAATATTGTCTGTTTATCTGTATGTACACGTTAATTTTCGGGACTACTGAGTATATTTGTATGAAACTTATTTTGTTAATACCTGGGCAATATATGGGGTATAATTAATTTTGGAAACTTAAACGTTTGATGCACAACCAGCGACACCTTAAGAAAAATTTTTGTGCCTGATCAATATATTCTGCTAAGAGTACAAAAGTCAAAGATCCAGAACATATAATGTGGTCCTCAAAGATACTAGTTATACTATAACATCGGATAAAAATAACTTCTTAACAATAAATAGTTTTTTTATTTATTTACATTTTTTGCACAAATACACATTGGCGTACTTAATGCCATGGCCATTTTCTACCAATAAACCTTAGGATGATGTGGACACGGGGTTCTCTCTATTGTTGTACAGGGCAAGTTCGTGACCTTGTTGCGTACAACAAAACGCGGGAAAGGGAAAGATCTATGGTTAGCGATACGTATCGTTGTCTTTCAACGATCATGTAAATACTTAAGGTTTAATGTCCGTTTTTTTGTCTACTCTAGAAACAGACAATGCAATGTGTCAAGAAGCTCTGATTAGATAATTTGGATTTAGTTTTAAATATATTAAAATTAACTTTGTACATAATAAGACGGCAACATCATTTTCCCTAATTTTATAGTAATTATGTATGTATATACATACATAATTTTATAGTAATTATGTATGTGTATACATACATAAATAATTACTATAAAAATACATAAATCATAAAGTAATTAATTACAGATAAACAGATAAATAGAAACATTTGCTATAGAATAACTTGTTTTTAGAAGCTAATTTATTATTTATTGATCATTCTTGTAGACACAAGTAGAATGGAAATTCATCCCACAAAGGAATAGATTTGACGAAGAACGAAGAGTGAACGATTTCGGAGAAATGAGATGGGCAGAGTAGACTATTAGAGGAGGAACAAAGAGTTTTGGTGTGAAAGGTACATAAGTACTGTTAAGATAAGAAAGAGTGTCTGGAGATTTCAGCAGAGAGGATAACGTAGTTAAAGCACGCATACATCTTCGCTTCCGGATGGACGTCCATTTTGAATTTTAACGATATAGGGACACATGATCAAATTTTCTAAGAATAAAAACGGATAGAATCTTCGGTCTCTAGAATCCAGTTAAGCCAGTGAAAAACTGACCATCATCATACATTGCCCAAAATCTTTAGATCTACCAGAAAATGAGATAGAAACAATTTCTGAAGTACGCAAAGATATAAGAACAGCGCAGTAAACCACGGAATTCTGATCGACTTCGATATGCTGTTGAGAGAATAAAAGCTGCTGGTGTGGAACTGAAAATTACCTGTTTTTCTAATGCCCAACTTTGCCTTGTTGTTTTAAGGGTTAGCAACATCTCTGGGCTTTATATTTTGGCACCCGAATAAAAAAAAAACACCAATAAAGTTTATAAATTTCATCTTAAATATTATTGTTAATCATATATACCGTTGGCACCGTCAGCAGACTGTAGAATTTTGGTACAAAAATAATTCTACCTTTACAGGTTCATTAAGTTATAACCTACTCAATCCACAACATACAATTTAAGCTTACAAAATCTTTGGTATGAGACAACACGAACGAAGATGCGGGCACCAGCTAGTGGCAAATAATATAACGGTGTAATGAATCTTTACAAGTATTTTGGCCTAACATAACCTCAGTAAAAAGTTATACGACCAAATGAAACAATAACAAAAACTTACTATAACCCAACCTTTCATCTTATTTGAGGTTGTTCAAGATATTTATTGAGCAACACATTATTTGAATAGTTGCCTCTATAGAATAAAATTTATGAATTTCGTTGGGATCGCCAGTTTAAAGCTGCTTTCTTTATGCAGATGATACCTACCATAGTGCTTACATAGAATCCATTCAATCTGCAAATGAAGCGATAGTCATGGAGCAAGATTATGAGTGATGAAAGGCTTAAAATTCACGTGAATAACACATAAGATATTAAACCAATGTACTACTTTGAGAATATAACTATTCACACCGTCATTAACTGGTCGTCCTCTTTTAATTTTAAATAAGAGTGAAGTTATACTTCACGGAATTGTCACTGTAAATAAATCTATTTCGTGATTATCCTTTACCAAAGGAGGCAATTTGTCTATATAAATTAAAAAAGAAGCATTGAGCACTGTGAAACACCCATGATAGGTGTTGATCTATCGATTCAGGGGATTTCTTGTCACCGATATGAACCTCCTACAAAGCCACTGAACTAAGAGACAGCAAAATCTAACTAGTTATCTCTAAATTCATAATATGAAGATTCGTTATATATTTCATGAACACCATAATTGACAGC